TTAAAAGAGCACCATGTTCTACCACATGGCTTCAGTAATCTGCCCTCCTTGTGTTAGAATGGTTTTTGCCTAATTTAGAAAGATGATTCAATTAAATAAAAGCCATTTCTGAGAGCAGAAAAACATACTGAATTTCTCACAATTGTGCTCAGAAAGCCACTGTAAATTCAAAGCTTTTAGAATATTAATGTTTGATAAGCAACATCAAGGCAAAGTAGTTGTGAAAAAGCTTTTGGTCAGATAAGGTTTGTTCTTAAATCTCTTTTTGACAATATTATATTCAGAGAATTTTGCTGCTCTTCATCCATCCCCTAGTGAGATGAAGCTAAAGTGGAAGTTTTATATCAAAATGCTCACAAAGTAGCAGCAGCTCTCACTTTATTCAGGCAAATTCACTCCTGGGCTGGGCAAAGACCAATTTAATTTCATATTATAACCGACCAGTTCATGCTCCATGATGCTCACCAGGGATAAAATTTTGAACATCTAGGAAAAGCCTCCTAACTATGTTACTTCATCTTTTATTTAGAATGTGTCTGGTTGGCTAAATAATATCCTGTATATAAACTATACACCAGAAAACGCTTGTGGCCCAGCATACTCTGCACAGGACCAAATGAGGATGATGATGATGATGATGTAAACTATAGCTGTGAAGTTGTTAATTTGCAGTTAACTACCATGGGTTACTAGACGTTTTGTTTGAACAACACCTGATAGTCTATAGCAGGAGTGTCAAACTCGATTTCATTGAGGGCAGCATCAGGGTTGTGTTTGACCTTGGAGGGCCGGAGTAGGCGTGACCATGGGTGATGTGGCCAGCTCAATGTCACTCGTGTCGGGGGCGCCTGTGGTTGCCTGAGCACTCTGCCAGTGGAAACGGGCTCCCGAGCTCAGTTTTTAGCTGTAATGGCTTCCTGCAACCCTCTGCCAGCAAAAATGGAGTTCAGAGGGCAACCCGTGGCCCTCCGTTTTTGCTGGCAGAGGCACCACAGGTTGGTCCTCCACTGTTTCCAAATCTAAGCACTCCATGATGGTCTTTGAGTTTGACACCCCTGGTCTATAGGTTCTTTATCAAGGCTTTCAAACTCCTGGCCTGTGGGCTGGATGCGTCATGTGGTGGCCACGCCCACACCTGGTTTAGCAAAATGGAAAAAAAGTCCCAATATGTCACATGACATTACCATGATGATCTGAGTTTTACACCCCTGCTCTAATGAAAACCAGATAGGTGACTTTGAGCCAATCACTCTTTTTCAAACCACCCCACCTCACAGGGAAGTTGTTATAAAAAATAGGCAAGAATATTATCTACATCCTTTTTAGTAGTAGAAATAAAAGCAGGAAGTAAATCTAATAATAGATAAATAATGTTGGAATCCTTCAAATATACATCTTTAATTTATTGTTTAGGCAATAATTATTCTAATTACTAATTTAAATATAACAAACTTTCCCCCATACTTTGGTGTGGTGATTTTTGTCCAGATATTATATGTTAACCCTTACCTTTCCAGTTTAAATAGAACAGTCGTTTTAAGGTTGAAGGACATTTTATATTAACTGTGCAGTATGTGAACGATGTTGCTAATTTTAATGTGTGCAAAATCCACATTTGTGTTCAGTTTGAGGGCTTAAACCTTTCCATCCACATGCTTCAGTTTTTAATTAAAAAAACAAAACAAGATAATCCTCCATTGGTACCTTGCCAAGCACCTGGAAAGAGAAAGGTTTGAAGGAATCCAGGCATGGTGGTATCAATGTGGTTCTTCCTTTGTTTGGAATTAGGTTGCTCAGTTTTGGTGTGTAGTCAATGCACAGTTAATCTTTGCACTCTATTTATTGTACTCAGATCTCCGATTTGTTCAGAAATCTTTGTTGGTTCTATTTTATTTTGTAGGATTTTTTTCAACGTGGACAACCATAATTGCCCATAGTATTATAAATGAGGCTTTACTAGTGTTTTATATGATGTTATTTGGCTCTTCCCATCCATGGTACACATAACATATATATTGCTCGGTGAGATATATCATATTTGTTATTTTCCATAGATGATTCCCTAACAAATAGTGAAGCCTGATACAGCTGGGTAAGATCAAGTAAGCAAGAACTACACAGACTTCAGTAAAGTATATTTAATGCTAGTCTTAGAGTAAATAGAGAATCTTAGCAATTATAAGCATTTCCAACCTTCGTTTATAGTGAATTCAATAAGGAGGAGTCTCTTTGAATGATTTGAAATGCTTTTTTCTTATTTCTGGCTTCTTGGATTGTGTTGAAATTTATAAAATAAGCTGCTGATAGACTCGCCTTCTATGTCTATATTGTTTATTCCAGCCTCCCCACAGTTTCTCACTCAAATTATACATAGCTTTAGGCTAGAATTGTTATACTAGAACAGAAAATCATTCTGCTGAAACCAACAACTTTATGTTGTATCTACCAAGTTCTTTTCTTAGTACAATTTTTCAAACGTTACCATTCCCAGTTAAGCTACAGATGGGATAAAATTCTTAACTTAAGCCTGGAGCCGTAAGAGTAATGTGGAAAGAAGTCAAACCTAATTGGTGTTGCTTTTTATCTAAAATACATATGGTACACTATTGGTATAGTTCTGTGATGGCGAACCTATGGCACGCGTGCCACAGGTGGCATGCAGTGCTCTCTCTATGGACATGTGAGCTGTCACCCTAGTTCAGCTCTGTTGTGCATGTGTGCACGTCTCCTGCCAGGCCATTGGGTCTCTGCCTTGCATGTGCAAGGGTGGGGCACATGCAGGGGGAGCATGCATGCACAGGGCAGGTGCTGGGAGAGCACATATACACAGGGAAAGGTCACGTGTGGGGGGCATGTGCGCATGCATGTGGGGGTGTATGCCAGGGAGCGTGTGCATTCATAGGGGTGGGGCACATATGCGGGGGCCGCACACCCATTGCATTTTGGGGTTTGGGGTCATGTGCATTTTGGGCACTCGGTCCGGAAAAGGTTAGCCATCACTGGTATAGTTTAATTCTAGACATGATTGCACTCCTGATGAAGGTGCCGATCTGTGACTTGGAGGTGAAATCTTTGAGCAGGGCAACTTTCTACAGCGGTGACTGGTGTGCCATTTAGGGAAGGAGAACATGATAACAGGAACACATGCCCTCATGGATATGAGGCTTGGGTTCATGGGGCTTGAGTGACTGCAGGGCACATTAAAGGCTACCCTTGAAGATAACCTAGAAACCAGAGTTGTGCAGAATGCAATTGCCTGCCTACTGGTACATGAGATCCACTTGTAACCATATTTCCACTTTCAAAAGATACATAGGGTAAGGGTGCTTCAGATAGATTTGCTTCATTATTTATTTATTTCATATATTAGATTTGTTAAGGCTGCCCAACTTTAAAAGAACCCCAACCCCCAAACCCCAAGGGTGTTTACAAAATATATTCTGTCTATTTGGTATTGTCTCCCTCTGGATTTCAGGGCTACCCCCTATATTGCTGATTTTAAGGAAATCATTGACAATTAGTTTTTCAGGAGATTTTCAGACCTGGTTTCATAGCTTTTATTTTCTTTATGAGCAAGATGCAGTCAAACGCCACATAGTTGGCCAATCAGAAAAGTGAGAACACACTGTTTTCAGAAAGGCATCTTTAATGCTAATCAGGAATAAAAACAATCTTATAAACAGTAAGAGTAAATTCCAGGCAGACTTATAGTGAATTAATTAAGGCACATTAAGTCTTTCTGAAAGGCTTCCTCCCCAACCTGTCATGCATGCTGAAGCTTGATTTTTAAAATTAATTTAAAACATGTGAATGCATTTTTATTTTGATAGTTTTATGACAGTGAATTTTACCTAGTATTTTATTATAAACATTTAGATTAGAAAATATAGAGTGTTATAGCAAATAGTCAATCAAATAATATTCTGATGCCATTACACAAGTATATATAAGGTGAACATAAAGTTCTTCTCAGCACATTTTAAAATGATATGAAAAGTTTAAAAAAGTGTAGAAGAAGGGAACTGAAATGATTAGGGCCTTGAACATTGTATGAAAAAAGGCTAAAATATTTGTAGTTCTTTAGCTTGGTGGAGGTAAGGGTATGCCTGAATAAAATGGATGGGGAGATCTTTTCCTTTCTATCTCAGAATACTAAGCCCAGACATTGTAAAATAATTGTGAAGAAGTTTAGGAGTGACAAAAGAACATCTTTATGGTGCATAATTGATCTGTAGAGTTAATTGCCATAACACATATGATGGTTACAGGTAGTCCTCAACTTACAACAGTTCATTTAGTGGCCATTTAAAGTTACAAAGGTACTAAAAAGTGATTTATGATCATTATTTATACTTATGACCATTATAGCACCACCATGGTCAGATGATTAAAATTCTGACGCTTGGCAATTGGTTCATATTTATGACAGTTGTCCCAGGGTTATGTGATCACCTTTTGCGA